TCATGCCTGACCACGCTCACAATGAAACATTTTTTTCCTACTTTTAGGTAGAATTTCCTTGTTTTTCAGCTTCTGCCTATTGCTTTTCCTCCTGGAAGAAGAGGCTGGGTCTGTTTTCTTCTCTCCCTCTGGTGGGACCATACACACTGATAACATTTCTGTGCCATAAACCCCTCTGGTGCTGAAGAGTTCAAGTTCTGTGAGCAACCACATAGTTTCTAGGGGTAGATAACTGAAAAATTGTTGCATCATTCAGCCCGAGGTTTTGGAGGTGCAAGCTGAGGTCAAAGGCTGGTGCTTTTCAGAAAGGTCTTACTTCTTTAGCCAAATTTATGACTGCTGCAATTAAAGAAGATCAAATTATTTGCCTGAGGTCACATGGCAACGGAGTGGCTCAGCCAGGACTTGAGCCAAAGATCCATTCCCTTGGTTCATCACCCTTGACTGTCAATAGCAGATTTAATTCTGGTTTATGAAGATATTAGGAAGGTTTTATATGTTTTATGAAAGAGACTGAGCTGCCATTATAATGAGGAAACAATCTAATGGGCTAATAAAACTTCAGAAAAAACAAGATACAAAAAATACTGTCAGAGGAAGAAATGAAACCTTGGACCAGTAGTTTGGGTTGCACAATCAGGCTGCCTGTCACCTCTGGCTGTCCCCATGACCTCCAAAGGGAAAATCCACCATGGATTGAGAGGTTGGCTTTGCAGGGCAGAGGGAAGAAAGTGGCTGCTGCTGTGCATGGTCCAAAGAGAATCCTTTGGGGTCAAGAGGCTGCTCGAGGTTGCCTAAGGCATTATAACTGTAGATCAGGGATAAGACAGTGTTCCAACACTTCCTGTGGAGAAAACTCTTGTGTTTAGTTCTAGAAATGAAGCTCCTTCATGTGGCAGCTGATAAGATGTGAAACTTTCTGGGGACACGAAGGACATGAGAATGCCAATCAACTACCAAAATGCTCATTTAATCTAGTGATATTGCTGCCTGATTTTTTATATTGATGTTTATTTTAGATATTTTTCCACTCATTCTCTAGTCCCAGTTCACATTCCAGTGAGCAGTGTGGAGGGAGTGCAGAGCCCCAGTGTGAGCAGGGGCTGGATGAGCCAGTGCAGCTGCAGGGGGGAGAAAGTTCTTCTGCTGGTGCCAAGTGAAGGGTGAAGAGCAGCCCCAGTTCTGTGGCAGAACAGTTCTGCATTTGCAGTCAAGTGCCAGGAAAATTCTCACAGATACAGCCCAGACCTTTAGAAGCAGAGGAAAAGCTGAAGAGACAGTCCCTGATTATTTCAGTCTAATATTTTTGCTTAAAATTGAGTTCAGTATGTTATTTTCCAGCTTATCTCACCACCTTTTTTTTTTTTTTTCCCCTTCTAGTGTGTCCCATCCCTTCAGCTTCATTCTTGGAATTTAATATCTCCCGTTGATGATTTCTTTTCCTTATCTTCCCTTGATCCATTTCTGCTTCTCTTTCAGATTCTGTCCCCTTGAGTCTCCAACTAATGTCTCCCCATATGTCAGATTAAAAGAAAAAAGAATTTACAAGATGCTGGGCTATGAAAGGAAGTAGAGAATGTTTATGTGGTTGCAGCAGACTGACCATTAAAGTGACTTTATTTCTACATCATTTCATATGCTGGCCTTGACAGTTTCATTTCCAAAACTATTTATACTCACAAAAGTCCAGAACAGCATTTCCATTATTTCCTTATATGATTTTTTTTTTTGCCTCTATTTTATCAAGTTATCTTCTTCTATTCAGGCCTGATTTCAGACAATAGGAATACAAAGTGGAAAAATCCTTTCTTAAAGAGGCTGTAGCTTTTTTAATCTATTAAAGCATCTTCCTGTGTCCCAACACATTTTTATCTCTGTCTTCTTTTCAGCTTCTCCTGTTGATTTGATCCAATGGACTGACATGCAGGGGAGACTCAGATGAAAGTTGCATCTGAGGAGTGTTTGTGCTCATAGCTGAGGAAACTTCCCAAAGCTGCCTTCCTCATTATCCACCAAAGTCCTCCTGCTGTTCCACATACTAATTCCAGAGGGTGGAATTAATGCTTTCATATGGCAAAGGCTAACTGTAACTTGCTTCACACTGAAAACACAGAGGGAGAAGGTATTTCACTAAACCATCACCAGTGGACATCACAACAGGTAGGATGGATAAAAATTATCAATTTTATTTTCTAAATGCAATGTGGTCCAAGACTTTATATGTGTGATGTTCCATTTTTGCTTCCTTGCAAGAAAATAAACCAACCAAGCCCCAGTGTGCAGTTTTGAAAAGGAAACTACGACTAGCATTAAATATCCTTGAAGAACCTGTATTAAATTCTGTGCATTTATTGTCTTGAATTCTGGCACAATTTGCATAAAGAGGTTGTGGATTACCCTTCACTGACAATTTGTAAGAACAAGTTAAATGAACACGTTAGGAGGTGTCGAGGTGTAACTTGCTCCTTGCTGCAGGAATAAAATCAGTGATTCCCAGGCTTTTTAGTCTGGGAAACCACTGCCAGCCCTCAGGACTTCTGCCACCAGACCCCCTCAGTGCCAGTGGTTGTTGCAAACATCATAAAGACAACGCTCGCTGTGATTTCACAGATTAATTTTGGAGCCCACGGCTTTGCTTCCCCCCAGCTCTGCACTCCCACGGCTCTGGGCTGTTGCTCTGATTCCAGGGCAATGGTGGGGAAAGTCTGTGATGGAATGTGATCACAGGAACAGTCTGAGCTCCAGCCCTGACTCCAGTCCCTTTTCCTTGCTGGGAGGCTCTGCTCTCCCAGGAGGGGCAGCAGTTGGTTGCTTCCTGTGGAGCTGCTTGGCAGGGTGACAGCCCCTGCCTGCCAAGCACGTGCCTTTCTTTGATGTGCTGCTTGGGGGGAAAAACTGCCAGTGGACAAAAGAGGCCTTTTTTTAAAGAGCTGGGTGAAGATGGGTTCTCTCCTTAAACCCCAGTGCCAATACCACCTACTGCAGATGTGCACAAACAAAACACAGCCACGCTCACTTTGGGTCCCTGCCTTCCCCTGGCAGGGCAGGAGCAGCCAAGGGGAACTGCTGGTCTTGGTGTAACATGAAAAGTCACCAGGATCAGGTAGATTTGACAGCTTTAGTCATGTACTTTAAGGCTGGTGCCAATTGTAAGTGCAGGATGGAATGGATTGTAGGAGAGATGAGGAGCTCCCTGAACTGATTTAAGATGAGTGAAGGTGCTGTAAAAAGGACACATGCAAGGCCCAGGGGAGTCAGAGCAAAGAATCTTGTTAATGTTTATGGGCTTTTGATCAAGTCCTTAAGACAGACTCAAGATTTAAGATGTTCTGACTTTGAAACAAAGGCTCTGGTGCAATTACACAATTTCTATTATCCTCCTTTAAACTGGTGTGTGTTATTCATCACACTGATCAGAACATGCTTTACATCACTGCACTATTTCTGGTTTCATCACTGTGATAAACTCAGGAACCTTTTGCAGCCTGTGAAGTTTGTACACTTCCTTCAGATCCTTCAGTTGGCTTGTGAAAGTGCTTTTTAAGTTTTAAAGGACAAAATTTATGTTTGTTTTCGCCAATTAGGGATTCCCGAGGGGTAAATCTAAAACTATAACAATGATTGTGATAAACTTAGTGACCCTTTTCAGCCTCTGAAGCTTCATTTAGCTCATAAAAGTGCTTTTTAAATTTTAAAGGACAAAATTTATGAGGTTTTTTTTTTAATTTTTATTTCATCAATTAGAGATTATTAGGGCCTAGTGGTACTCTGAAAATACAGCTCCTAGTGCAGCTTCATCTTTGCCTCTTTCAGAGCTTTCCACCCTCTCCCTTTGTGTGGAATGTGCCTGTTGCTGCCATCTCCCCATAACAGAGGGCTACCTGTTTGGTATCCTCAGGATTTGCAGGTTTTAATTAGAATGGATTTATGTTGATTAGAGTTGATGGGATTGAAATGCCATGGAGTTATTAATTTCCTAGTTTTAATTTTGCTACTTAGTCACACGTTACCAAAAATATCTCAGAAATGTGGGTTTTTTCCCTCGTAAAGTGGCAAACCAAAGAAACAAATGCACTGCAGCATTCCCTCAGTTTGGGGATCAGCTCCTGGTAGATCCTGACTTATCATTCTGTGGATGGATGAAAATGAAAAGAAATACTTGCAGCCAAGATTTCTTGGATTTTCTTTGAAAACAGAAGGAAAACTTGTAGGATTTGCTGTTATGATTTGCTTGATTTCTTTTTACGGTTTGAATGGCAACGACCATAATTCCTCAAAATTCCAAAATTTCAAAGTGTCCATTATAATTTTAATCTCTGTAGCATATGCAGGACAGGCCAAGATTCTGGGCAGGAATTAATATTAGGAATTAATATTTCCATTTTAGCAGGTGGGAAAGTGAGGCATAAAATAACCTGTCCAGTTCAAGAGTCATTGCAGTCAATCTAAAGGTGCATCTTCAGCTCTCACTGGAACAGGGTAAGGTCTTATGCAGGTGGACTGGCTTTGTGGGCTGCTCATCCCTGCAGGGATGAATAAAAGCAACAAGAAAATTCCCAGAGCAGATAAAAATTCAAATGATCCTCTTTCCAAACGTCTCCTCTGAGCCCACTGGGGAGCACTGAGCACCAGGGCAGCTGGGAGTCAGGACTCGGGGTTTTACAGAAGAGGGGGTCACTTCAGAGAATGTTTATATTCAGTGCTGGCATTCAACTAGTTCCTACAACTTCAGGGTAAAAATTCCTGCAGCAATCCATCCTGAAGATAAATTCACAGCTTCTCTCAGCGTGTCTCTTCTTTCTGTAATCAAACCCATTCCTCACTGAGGGCAAGAGCAGTAAACTCCAAATTTCTTTTGATGAAAGCACAGCTGAGCATTCCACAGTGTGTCCAAATAATGCCAATTGCTGCAACAGTACATTTCCTACAGAGTTAAGTCCTCTCCTTAATATTCTGTGGATCTGGAGACAGCTGGCTGAAGACAACAAGTTAAGCTTGATGATAAATTTGCTCCAGCATATTTAGAAGCACCTGTAAAAAATGTCTAAATGAAAATATCCCGTGCTTGTTTCAGAATGCCAAGCACACGAACTTCTGTCTGCTTCAGTCCTTATTTTAACTCTGTTTCTGGTTTGCTAACACTTGGAATTCTGGTCGAGGGGGAATTTCCTAAGGGAAAGCAGGCTCTCGAAGGCTCTCCTGAGGGAGAACAGCCTCTCTGGGAAGGAGCAGAACTTTGGGGAACTTCAGTTTATTGGGGAAGGCAGAGGGAGTGAATCAACATTCTTCTGGAGCTGCTGCTTCTCTGCCCCCTTTTTTTTGGTCTGTACTTGCTCTTGGCAGTTCCAGCCTTTGGGTTTGGGTGAAAGAGAAACTCAAAGAGATCCAAACTCAAGAGATTGGTAATAATCAAACAAGGAACTCAACCACAAATACACTGATAATGTTCAACCTGTAAATGCCTGTTTGCTGGTGTAAGGTTGGGATTGGGTCAAATTCCTCCCATAGCCTGGATTCTACCTCAGGCAGGACTAGGAGGGATGTCCTGGAGACAAGCAGGAGCCTGGTGGGTAAATTGTCTTTTAGCTCTCAAAACCAGAAGGTGAAGCAGTTTCTTGCTTCAGCTGCAGTGTGGGTTTTCTTGACAGAAAAAAAATCCAGTCTGTGCAGCTTTCCAAATAAGAGTTTTCACAAGAAAGCCAAGGCTGCTTTGACCTATGTGACATTGCTGTTAATTATGCATTATAAAAGCTGCTGTTGGTAGGTTTTTTTCATGGTGAGGGGTCTCTTTGCTTCCCAGTTCATATGTATAACTCTCATTAACATTAATAAGAATTTAGGTGTTGTGGAGGTTAGTCAACAACTCTGCCATAGAATAAAGTGAAATATGAGTGCAGGAGTTGCCCTTAAATGAGAGTAAATTCTTGCAATCGTTATTTGGAGGGATCGGGGATAGATCAGGGAATTCAAACAAAACCTGTGCAGAACTGGCTCTAGTTCAGGCTGTATTTTCTATCCTGCCTCCAACTAATATGTTTGTATTGGGTTTGGACACTTTGTCTGGGAGAAGGGAGTCGTGCATAAATGAGGCCAAGGCTATTATTCAGTGTTATTAATGATGTTGTCTACTCTTAGTTTCTCAAAAACCAGAAAACTAATAAATTTTACATATTGGGAAAAAAATCACAGATAAATCAAACAAACATATAAATTCTTTAAAGTATTTAATATGTGTTAAGAGGACACAATGATGAATTCAATATTGAAAACCAATATCAAGTTTACAATTATGGCCCATTTATCATCACTGATTGCACAGACAGTGTATTATTGCAGGGAACAGAATGATGCATAAACTAAAACCCTGATTGGTTTTCTAAAAAAAAACCCCACAAGTTAAAATTCATGTTATGTCTGAAAAGCTTTGTTTTTCTTTTTCAAGCATTATGTTCAATAATAATTGCTCATTCAGACACAAATGATGCATATTTAATTTCTTGAGCTTTAATATTAACAGAATAATCATTTCAGAGCGTTGATAACTGATGCTGTTACAAACAGTAACATGATTCAGTTTGCTGATGTTTTCTGAGGCCCAACTGCCCCTCTGAGCAAAAAGAACCCATGGAAAGGGAAAAAGTGGACAGGAACTGGTTTTGAATTGGACATGGAGGAGCAAGGAGAGGAAAGCAGGAAAATGCTCTTGAAAGGGGAATGGCTTTGAAGAGAAAACATGTCCAAGTGACTGGTTTTCACTCAGGGTAAAGCTGTGCTTCCCCAGAAGTCAAAGCTCTCAGTGACTCCAGTGCTGTCCAGCTCTGTTGTCTGCACTGAAGGACATTCCTGCTCACCTTTCTGAAAGGCTGCACTTCCTTAAACTCCTGTCACCCCAGCTGAGCTCTGGGAGAGGGAAATGAATTCTTCTCTGGCTCACACTTTATCAGCAGAATTATTAAGCAGTTTTCTGTGCAGAGTCACTCTTGTAATACACTCTTGCTTGCTTTTTTCTTTTTTTTTGCCTTTTTTTTCCCCCAATCCTTTTCTCATTTCCATGTTGGTGCTCAGGCTTCCTGGGGATAACCAGTTATCATTTCACCAAACTGAGGCTGTGCACTCACATAACTGAGAGTTATTTTGTCCTTCGGAATTTCAACAACTCATTCTGATTTATGAAAGGTTCTTTCTAAGCTTAAAGATTCAGCTGGAGTTTACAGAGTTATAACTCTAGGCTACACTCATTGAGTCAACAAAAATAAGAAAAAAAAAAGAAAGCCAAACTGTCTTTTTATATCTTTGTTTGTAAACTGCCCATTTTCAAAACAGAAGCACTGGACTAGAACCAGTTTGCTGCAATCTAGTGCTGTTTGCACTGAATGTCTTCTTAGAAGGGGGTTGCATTTAAATGGAGACCAATAAAAAATGAATATTCTAGTAGTCACCCTCAAATGTAGAACACATCCACAGCCAGATTCATTGGCATTTGCTACCCTCTGCTGCCCTGCAAGTAGACAACCATATTGGAGAGAATTCCAGAACTTTCCAAGTGAAATAAATGAGCTGGATGGGATTTTACAGGAGAAAGAAGAGCAGGGCTGAATGCTTTGTGTCAAAGATCTGCAAACACCTACAGAACAGTGTGATATCTTGGTTTTCATTGATGCCCAGGGCACTCATAGTTTGACAGGCCACTTCTTTGGAAAGTTTTAAAGAGAACTCTGAAAGGGAAAGAATAAAAAGAATTGAAATTATAGCAGCAGGCTGGCCTAATTAATTTTAAACATTTTGTGCATTTCAGGGAGCATCTTACTGTTTAAAAACTAAAATCAGGGATGCTAAGTAGTTCCCCAACTGGAAACTGGTGACAAAACTGAGTTATAAACAATGCCATCAGGACAGAGCAACTGGTGGGTTTAATATTCTTCTACAAACAACAAAACCTAATTATCTTTATTTATTCAATAAATTGAGTTCAAATTTGATCTATTAAATTGTATTAAATATTGAAAATAATTTAATAAATAAACATGATTGCTAATTTATTATTGATATTCATCATTGGGATGTTTGTAAAAAATAATTAAAAACAAGTTGGGAAAGAGGGGGCTGAATTCACTTCAGGCACCAGAACTGCTGCAGAACCTGCTTAGTTTGCCACAGTCATAGGTAATGAAGAAAAATAGCTTGTGGAGCTGGTGAGGGAGCAGAGCTGGGCTTGGAAAAGGAGGTGGGAAAGCAGGAATCACTCCAGCACACAGGGATCCCTCACTGGTGCAACATCCTGGGGAGGCTGCAAACCAGGCCAGCCCAGCAAGGGGCAGGTTGGGAACCCAGAGGCACCAACGCAGTGTGGGAGTGGAGGAGTTTTTTGGGAAGCTGGGAGATTGCAGGGAGGCCCCTGTGGAAGCTTTGTACCAATGCTGGCCCGAACTATCTCCATCCTGAAACGCTGCCACCACCTGCAGTCATGTCCTGGCAGGGGACCAAGAGACACACGGTGCAGGACAAAGGATTTTGGCAGCTTCACATGGCCATAAAATATTGTACAATGTGGGGATTCATCGTGTGCCTACGGGGACAAAAAAAGTTCTGTGAACCATTTTGGTGTGTTATCAAAAAGGGGCTTGGTCTTATGTTTCTTACATATATTCTTGAGACGATAAAAAGGCAGGAACCCAGCCAACATTATTATTCCAATTAGAAAATAATCTCTAATAGTACATAGCACAAGTAGAGCATTTCATCTTGAACAGCCTGTGCAAGCTTAAGGTTCCTGGCTAAGAGCTGAGTGCAGCTGTTCAGATCACCTGTTATGAGCCTTTTGCTCTAATGATTTAAATCATTACACGTTTGTAACTTCTGGTACATCTTTCAGGAAGAAAATGACAACCACGGGGTGCGATTCCTTCCCCGGCTGATGCGGCTCTGAGCATCCAGAGCCAGCCGAAGGCAGCAGCGGTGCAGTCGCTGTGACAGTGCGAGGGCAGAAGCTCTGGACGGTAGAGGATGCTAGAGAAGAGGTAAATTCTCCACCGCGCTTCTCCCTGGCAGCATCCCCTCATTTATCGATACCTCGTAAGCAGCTTCTCCCCATCCCGGGGCTGGTTTTAGGCACCGAGAGCTGCGTATGCTCCCCCGGGTGCGCAAACCGAGGCACCCTGAAACGGCTCCAGAAGTTTGCGCGATCTCCCGCTGGAATCTGAGAGGTCTCTGCTCTGGAGATCCCGGTTTTCCAGCCGCAGGAGGCAGGGAGCCGTGCTTTCCCCCCATCTCCTACCTCTGCTGAGCCGCCAAGTGTTTCTGCCTCAGCTATAGTTTGCTTCCTCATACCCCCGTGCGCTGCTCGGGATGCCGGGCTGGCGGTCTGATTCTTTGTCCTTCTAGTCTATTTAAGGCATTTTAATGGAATCGGGCGGAGAAAAAACCCAAAACACACACACAACGCCCGAGGCATCAAGACTAGACCCGACCCCCCCCCCTTCCCTCAAACAAACAACAAATGGTTAAATAAATAACGAGATGCCAAACCGACCATCACCAAAACGAATAAGCCAAAAATCAGCGTCAGCGCCGCAGCAAACGGGAAAGTTTCTGCGCTCTGAAGCTGGAACCGCGCGGCAAAAAAACCCAAAACACACACACAACGCCCGAGGCATCAAGACTAGACCCGACCCCCCCCCCTTCCCTCAAAGAAACAACAAATGGTTAAATAAATAACGAGATGCCAAACCGACCATCACCAAAACGAATAAGCCAAAAATCAGCGTCAGCGCCGCAGCAAACGGGAAAGTTTCTGCGCTCTGAAGCTGGAACCGCGCGGCAAAGCAGGAATCCGGGGGAGGGAGCGGAGCCTGCGGGAGAAGGGATGCACTGGTGTGTTCCCAGCCCCGCATCCCGGAGCGCCAGCCCGAACAGCGCCGCTATAAGAAAAGAGAAGAGAACGGCCCCGAGCCCCCACCCTCGTCTCCTCCCTCCCTCCCTCCTCCTTCCCCCTCCCCCGGGTCCTGCGGGGAGGCGGGCTTAAGGTGGGTCTTGTGGCCGCGGTAACTTTCCTAACAGAGCCAAAGAGACGCCCGGAGTCCCCCGCGGCAGCATCGCCCGCCCGTGCTGGGCAGCGGCCCCGGCTCGGCCGTGGCTGCCCGGGCCGCCTCCTCCCGCAGCCCCGCGGCCCCGGCCCCGCATCCCGAGGTAGGTGCGAGTCGGGACAGGTCCTGGGCGCTGCCGGGGACGCGGCACCGGAGCCCCCGTGGCCGCAGCTGCGCCGCCCACCCCCATTTGTTCCTGGGATTGATGCTGCGGGGCAAGGAGCCCCCCCGCACCCTCCGGCTGCCAGGGGAGAAGCCCCCTGCCCTCCTCCTCCTGGAACTGCCCGGCATCCAAGAGGAGCCGGCGGGAGGCAGTCTCTGCCCAGCCGCCCGTTCCTGCCCCTTCCCTCGATCTTTGGGTGCTCGCGGGTGATTTTGGGAGTGCTGAGCTGGGAGATGTGTGCGTGGGTGAGATCGTACGGTTTGATTAGGACTCTCCCCTGTCAGCCGCTTCCTTCTCCCCCCCCCGCGCATGGTTTACCGGGGTGTTGTATCGGCACGAACTTTCTTGTGGTTGCAGCCGCCGGATTTGGTCCCCGCGTGTCCCTGCGTGTCCCCGTCCTCGGGCTGCTGGCGCTGCGCGGGCCAGCGGGCTCGGGCTGGCGCCGGCTGCTCGGATCGGAGCGGCTTTCCTGGTCTGGACTTAACTGGGCTCCTGCCGAGAGGGTGTTTGGGGTAGGGAGATGCACGAGGAGAAGTTGTAGGATGCGGTGTGTAAGTGACACCTCCGTTCCTTGAGGTTGGGGAGTGGGTAGAATCTCACTCTGGCTGGTGCTACTCGCTGCTGCCAAACATTCCCTTCTTTTGCTTAGGCAGGACTGGCCACGCTGCCAGATGGCTCCTAACAAAGAGAAGTTTAGGAGCGTCAGCTCCCAAAATCACTGCTCAGCTGAGATCCGCAGGTGACAGCACACGGTCTGATGCCTGTGCTCGTGTGCTGCCTATTATTCAGCTGCAAGCACAGGGCATCTGACTGGCCCGGGAGGTGGGCAGGGGATCAATAGTTTGAGAAACCAAGGCAGCCATGGCTCAAAGTTGTTTAAATCTCCAGCCCCTGGAATCACTGGACACTGGGGTTGGCCCCTGCCCTCCCCCCTAGCTGGAAGAAAGTCCAGAGTTAACTAAAAGAAAGTCTGCATGTTCGTGTCTTTATTATCTCCTGATTCAGAACATAAATATGTGACATAAAAATTAACTCGAATGTAGCAGCCTGTCTGCCTCCAGTGACCCATCAGATGGGAGAGATCCCACCCCTCAGCATGCTCAGCCTCATGTATTTTGGTAAGAGAAGTCTCCAGTCAGGTGACTGAATGTTATGTCTCTTGAGCTCACATTATGGGACTGAGTAACTCTGTGAGGGTTTTTCTGGGATCTCCGGGTCTCAGTCCAAATCCTTCCCATGCTCAGACTTCTCTCAGAGCGCAGCCAGAGCTTTGCTGTCCCTCTCTGTTGGGACCTGCCTTCCACGTTCACTTCGTTAGTAAATCCCACAGGTTTTCCTTCTCAGAGCAGTGGATTGTTTTAGGGGTATTGCCTTGGTGACAGTAGTGTTAAATAAAGGAGAATAAAGCACCAGCCTCATCATAGGACTGGACTTTCTGTGATCTTGGCAGACCAAGGAGCTGGTCTTGCAAAAGCTTGTGAACAACTTGGCGTTGATGGGATCTGCTCTGGAGTCTGTTAAAGTTGGTGTGGGACACCTGAACGGGCTTTGCATTAGGTTAATTAATGCTAATAAGCACCTGTGCTCAAGGATAATGATAATTTGCAAGATTAGTTTCAAGTTCTTATTTGTCAGCAGAACCTCTGGAGGCTTCCTCGATGTTCAGACTGTTGAACTTAGTTTTATTTCTGCTTCTCGTTGATATCTGAGCAAATTCGTTATGGAATTGTAAAAGGTTTATGGTGAAAGTGTTTCAACACATCCAACAGTGAAAATGGTCGTGTGGTCACTCTCTTTTTCAAAATAAGATTTCAGCATTGTCTTTCTCTCCAGTCACCCCCAGTCACCTGCTTTATAAAATTTTGTAATTTTAGTTAAAAACCCGCCAAATTGGCTGAGGTTAAATATACAGTATTAGGCTGCATTATGTTGCTCCCACTTTTTACTTATGAGAAAGAACGAATTTGATCTCTTGTTTTTTACAATTAAATATAAATTAATATTCAGAAGTATCAAACAGAAGCCAGTGCTCTCTGGTAAGAAGTCCCATATTTCCTGTGAATGGGGCATTCAACCATTTTCACTTTGAACAATCCATCCTGCTTTAAGCACCAGGCAGCAGAATTAATATTTAAGCAAATGCATACAGCAAAACTATAAATCTCTGAAAACAGTTAATTATATTGGAACTGGGAATGTACCTTCGAGTACAGCCTTGTATAAACTATTTCCCTGTAGCGTGATCACAATTCTTGCAAACCTTTTATCCTCCTATGTGAAATCATTTCTAATTCTCTGTTCCTGCAAAGCATGGGCTTGCTTATTGTTTTCAAAACCATGTGGTTTGAGCTACTATTTAAATATAATATTTATGATATTACTTTGGCTGTTCAGCTCAAAAAGAGAAGTGCTGCACACCATTGCATATTAAAAAGCTGCTCTATAATTACTGCTTTTTGCAGCACTGCTGTGCAAATCTCTGGGTCGGGAATTCAAATGGAGACTTTCTACAGTTCACAGTTATTTCATATAAAAGATGTAAGTCTTTTTTCTTGAAACGTGGGGGTTGCAGCCATTGGGGAGTGTGAGTGTGCTGCCTGCACTAGTTTTTACATTTTTATTGTGCTTGCCATTGGCCTCTGTGTGCTTCCAGGTGCATGGAGAGTGTGGTGGGTTCCCACAAACTGTCCATCTGTTGCAGCACTTTGGGTTTGAATTACCTATTTGTACTTTTTTTGCCATACTGTCATTTTATGCAAATATGTCCATTCTGGTTGTGTCACTGGGAGGCCTGGAAGGCACTTCCACTGCCCTTCTCTCCCTTGCCTATCCATGCAAAGGAAACTGTGGCACTGCAAGAGCCAGAACCCAGTGGCAGTTCCAAGCCAAGGTCACTGGGAATTTCTCCAGGGAATTTCTCCAGGGATGGTGATGGATTTTAGATCCCACTAAGCAGTCTAAAGGTGATTTAGACCATTCAGGAAGATGATTTGGGCCATTTAGATGCAGGTAGGATTCAGGTCTCACAGTCTCCTTGTGTTCTCCAGGGTGTCCTGCCTGTTCCCTGGTTGCTGCTCCACCAGCATCCAGTTGTCCTGTGACACATCCATTGGATCTGGTGCCCAGTGAGGTATCCTGGTTTTCCTCATGTGTCTCAAACAGCCTTGGCATCCCCGTTCAGGCAACTGAGCCCTCCCTGCCTATCTCCCACAGTACAAAAAAATGACTAATACATTAAACCTGGGGTCAAGGCAGTAGTTATAATTCCCACTGTGAACCCCAGAAAGGGTTGTGCAGATGTTCATGGAAAAGCTGGATAAAATTCAGGCTCATTGTTGTGTTCTGCACAGACTGACTGAGCTGCCCCAGCAATTGGTGCTTCCCTTTGCACAAACTGATTGAAACCTCAGTGGGGAAGTTCTGTGTGTTAAGGAGAGGGAGATGAGAAAGTTTGTAGAAAATTAAGAGCTGCTCTCAAAGGAGACAAATCCCAGTAGAATCAGCTTTAGATTGCCAGGTGAGTTCAGCCATATGATACTTGGATGTGATTCCTGAGGTAAATCAGTGTATTCGTGTAGAGAGGAGGGATTGTGGTTAAGAGTTTGCAGAGTGTGACTCTTCCCTTATAAATTAATACAGATCATGTACCAAATTTATGAAGAGACAATATTGCACACCCTTGTGAAGATCAGACTCGGCAGTTGAAAAGGCAAATCTAAGGCATTCAGTCAAGCTGTCCAAAGACAAGTGCAGAATCCTCCAGGATAAGTGT